AGAGATTTTAAATTTGACTTTTGAGATAAATAAAGAAGAGTTTTAGAAATGGGAGGGTAATCTAATGTTATATAGCCTAATTATTAAACATAAAACAAGAAAAAAGAAAAGGGCTTATGTGTGTTCAGTTGAACCACCGGAGAATTGGGAACCCTTTCTGAAGCTAGCTCATAACTGTGTGTTAGGCCTTCGTTTTCTGGAGTTTGAGTTATTGAATAATATAATACACATGAAATTTGGGAGCACGATTCTAGAAGGTCTAGTGAATGTTCTGGGGTTCTGGTGTGCTAGTGGGAAACAGTCGATCTGTAGAGTAAGCGTGCTTGTACCGTGTTTACATATATTTTGAAGGGAGAAAGGACTTAAGAAGAATGGGAAGGCCAAAACAGGGAGAAATAAAAAAGAGAGAAGAATGGGAAAATGAGCTGGACGCACCGCGGGCGGAGTCAAAAGTCAACCTTCTATTTCCCTAGTTCTTCAATTTTCTTTCATTTGTTTTTTTAAGAACAAATTAAAAAAAGTAATGCTTGACTGTGTTATTCTGTTTGTTATTGAGGATAATAAAATGTTCATAGAAGACCAAAAAATCAAAGATATTATGTCCATGAGAATCTAAAGGGTTGAGGTGCCCTTCGTGTATTTGCTTAGTAATATATATTTATTTGCTTATGAGAAAAAAGGTTTGACTGTAAGAGGGTAGGATTATTGTTACAATCTTAATAGATAATGTTATATTTTTTTAATATAATTAATTATTATATTTTTATACTATATTTATTTTAATTTTACATTTTTTATTTTTAAGTGAATTTAAAAATATAATAATTAATTAAAATAAAAATACATTATATTAATAATTAAATATATTATAATAATATCTCCCACTTTAAGGTTGTGACTTCACAAGTAGGATTGACATGGTGCAGTGGTTCACTTCCAAGCCATTAGGACTAGGGCCTCAAAAGAAAGGTGTACACATCTGATCTAGGCCTTGAAAACA